TACATGGGCAGACGGTCTGACATTACATCAAGAATCATTGGTTTAAAAATGGGGCATTGCTGCCTTTGAAGGAGTCTTATCGTTTTAGTTATATTTTCCATTTAATTTTTATAAATTTTGGAATTTTGACTTCTTGTTAAGTAGAAACGCTGCTACAAGAAAATTATCAACATAGACCCACGAAAATTTCACCATGTCTCAAAACAATTAATTACCTTTTTCAATTATATGAAAATTTGTATATCATTGGCACAAGATAACGCGAAATAATATGATATATATTTTTGTTGCATTTTTTCATAACCTTGAAAATAAATTTACGCTACGCATCACTATACTAATCCAAATTGTTACTCAAAAATTCCAATTAATGTGATATGCTATCTCTGACAAGATGTTCGTCCTTCGCTTTAATATACCTAAATGTCGTTTGCTGCAAAATATCCTTGAAAATGTAACATCCAAGCTGTAAAATATTAACACCATTTAAGGGCCCTTGAAAACTCATCCACTCGGATTATTCATATTCTGCTTCGTTAAATGTTTCGTTGCATAAACAAGGATACTTTGTCGTCTTCCCCCGTGTAGTTGCACGGTGCTAGTTAAAGTGACATTATTTACATGAAATAAACACTAAATATTAAAATTCAAATGATTAATTTATTTTAAAAAAATATTGTAAAACCTAAAAATGTTTTGGTCGGCAAAATTGATTATTTAATATAATACACCCATCGCCTGTTAACTGGGGATAAAAGTTATACGCATTGATGGCAATGCCTTTATCTAATTCCAAATAAGATCATCTATTTTTACTGCATACTTTGAGGCTGAAATTTTTGTGGTTAACAAGTCGTGGCACAAACCCATGTGCAAGTAATAATTGTAGTTTATAATTTTCGCAACAGGGTTGAACCGTTTTGCGCTCTGCATTTAAAAGATCTATGCTTTTTCAATCAAGTTAGTTTTGTTCAATTTATTACTTGTTAGCTCTATTTTGGTGTTATTGTATGGAGGGTACATTAACCAAAGACTTAAAATGGTAAAGACTAAACAAAATGCATTCTGGGCTAATGTTTAATAACAGGTCAAATGTTAAATAACAGATCATGACAGGTTATAAAGTATCAGTTGGTTTAGCCGACAAATGTATACCTTCAATCAATGTTCGATTATTTAAACATACTTTGACTTGTGTTATGATTGTTCGAATTGTTGAGCCTCTATGGAGTCGGTACCGAAGGAATAAACCAATATTGTCCATTTCGTATCGGTTCAAAAAAAAAGTTCGGCCGGGCCTCCACCATTTGGAAAAAAATTTGGTAAATTCAAAAAAAACAAAAAAATAATAATAAATAAATATAAAATCGGTAAAAAATGCTGATAAAATCTAAAAAATACTGAATGTAGCCGTATATTAGGGTATATACGAGGACGTGGACCTGCATAGGCATCTTTTGTCTATTACAATATTCAAAAACGAAACTTGAAAAAAAAAATCTGTTTATTATGTAGCTAAAATCATCAAAATACCGATTATAGGGAGGTACCATGGGAGTTATAAAACGTGGACCTGCACAGACAATTTTCTGTCATAGACTGTAGTATCCATTACGAACTTTCTATACTGAATTTGAAAGAAAATTGTGGTAAATAATGTCGCTAAAATCATCAAAATACCGAATATCGGAAGGTACCGGTATATGGGGGCTATACGAAGACGTGGCATAGCACAGACAATTTTCTGTCTTAGGCTGTAGTACCCATTTCGAACTTCAAATACCAAATTTGAAACAATTCCGGTGAATAATGTCGCTAAAATAATCAAAATACCGAATATCGGGGGTACCATTATATGGGTGCCATTACCATTACATGGCCCATTTTCAATACCAAAAGTCCTGCAGACATAATATACATTTGAGTAAAATTTTATCAATATACTTGAATTCGTTCGGAAGTTAGAGTGATTTCCACAGACGGACGGACATTGATAAATCGACATAGAATTTTATGCTGATCATAAATATATATACTTTGTTGAAATATATTTAAAATAATATTTGAGAGATATATTTAGATATAGCACTATCACAATATAGATATTGTGGGTCATTTGATAGCATGTGTGAAATTTGAAGAGAGTTGGATGCCCATTTTGCTTTCTTACAGCTATTTTTTTTTTTTTTTTCAAATATTGAACCCTATATGGGGGAGGTATCAGAAGAAATAGTTTGATCTCCACCATCTTTATAACAGATCTTGTGTTGATGGAAATATTGAGATGTCCCAATTCTGAATAAAATTGGGTGTTAATTTCTCGTTTTATGAGCTTCATGGATATTCAAAATGTTGACCCTTTGTGGGGGAGGTACCAGAAGGAGTAGACCTATATATTCCATCTTTACACCAGATATTGGATAATACAAGTATCGTGGTGCATATAATTGGATGACAATCGGGCTCTTACATGACATTTTATAAGAGTTATAATTATTTATAATTTTCACCCTTTGTGGGGGAGGTACTTAAGGGAGTGACCTGATATAGTCCATTTTCGCACTCTGTCTTGTCACATGTTTATACTAATATGTCTATGCATCAACTTGGTAATTTTGTTTGAAAATTTACCAAACAGCTGTTGTTGTTTATTCTTGTTCGGAGCTCAAATTATGTGCAAATATTCAAATTTGTCACTTCAAGTCAAAATCATAGAATTATAAAGATCAGGCAAGACAGAGTCAAAATACTGTCACCGGCGATTTAAAAAATATTTGTTTGAAAAAAATGACTCTATGGTTGAAAAAATATTCCATTCTTAAAGTATTCTTAAAAAAACTTAAAAAATATACGATAAAGGTCCTGCTGGTTCTTACAAATATTTTGTAAATATTCGGTTAAGGTCCTCATAAAATATTATTTTAAAAATTCACAATTATTGCAAAGACTGTTCAAAAAATATTCTTTAAACAAGTAAAAAGCAGTTAAGCTTGACCGTTTCGATCTTTTAATACCCTCCACCATTTAAAAGGAACTGTTTATATGAAAACCATTTATAGGGGCAAAGAAGACCCATTAGGGCCTTCAAATGCGAAATATCGTTAATATACCGAATAAAGGGAGGCACCGTTATATGGATCCTATACGAAGATGTGAGCCTGCATATGTATTTTTTCATGGACTGTAGTACTCATTAAGATATTGCCATACGAATTTTGAAACAATTCTGGTCTATAATATCTCTAAAATCATCAAAAAACGAATATTGAGAGGTACCGTTACATTGGAGCTATACAAAGAAGTGGACCGACATGGCACTTTTTCGAACTTAATCTGCCTACTGACAGAATACAGATGTGTGCAAAATTTTAGTATCCTATCTCAATTCATTAGAAAGATGGCGTGATTACAACAGAAAGACTTCGCTAAATCGACTAAGAATCTTAAGCTGATCAAGAATATATATACTTTTTTGGGTCTAACATGAGTATTTCGAGGAGTTAGAAATGGACTGACATTGTTAACATACCCTCCATAATATGGTAGAGGGTATAACAATTTATAAAGCAGCTAAGTTCGGCATAGACAAACTTTAATACCCTCCACCATTTTGAAGGAACTTGAGCAGTTTCCAAATAATTCCGTCGAAAAATTCCGCTCAAATGGAAATCGTTACATGGGGGCTATGCGAGGACGTGTTCCTGCATATACAATTTAAATACAAAATATACATAGATTTCGCTATACGATATCGTGGATCTAGGTAGTCCTTTTCTAGGGCCTAAAATGTTGCGAAGGAACTCCTTGTGTGGATTTTCAGAAATGCCACTAAAAATATTTGCCACAGTCAACAAATTACCGAAATTTGGTGGGGGGGGGGGTTCCGCTATATGGGGCTATACGATATCGTGGACCGATGTAGCCCATCTTCGAACTTGACCTTCCTGCAGACAAAAGACAGATCGGTCAGGGTTAAACGTCTAGGAATTTTACGCTGATACTTTGTTAGGTCTAAGATTGTTATTTGGATGAGTTATAAATAGTGTATGATGGAGGGTATAAAAATGGAAAATTGTGGATCTACTAATCCCTCAAAAAATTCATAAAAAAATAACAATTATGATTTTGTTGGTCCTTCATAAAAATACTTGAAAAATTCATGAAAGTGGCAAAGTCGCTTTTGAAAAAAATATTCTTCAAAAAAATTTCTTTCCAGAAATCATCGATTATAGCTCTGCTGATCCTTTAAACAAATTAAGGATTATGATTCCGCTGTCCTCCAAAAAAAAAAAACACCACGATTATGGCTCACAAAATATTCTTTTTTGCATAGTCTACGGTTATTCTCTGCGGTTAGATTGACTCTAAATATCTCGAAATAGATTCCAAATAATTTTGCGTCGTTGTGCCTATGACATATATTCAAATAATCCATCATCAAAATATAAATTTTCTAAATAATATTAATTAAATATATTATCATTTCAAAGTATGCACATTGCCGGTTAATACATAATTTAAGAAATCTATGTCGAATATTTCAAAGTTCGGCCAAAATTAATATTCCCCCAATGGGTCATTAAATTTGGATACATTACCTACAGGCATATATGTTACACGTGTACTTCTATCTTCATTTAATTATACGTATTTTAATAAAGATGTATGTAAAAATGAATGTATGTATGAAATTGTCATACTTATATTTGTATGCATGTATGTTCAGCTTAAATTAGATTACAAAATTCGTACATTAAGTTGACAGACACAAAATAACTGTATTTTTAGCCGAAATTGCTAGCATTGCGGCTCATAAACCTAAATAGTTGGGGATCATAAAATTTCGACTTGAAGCCAATGCAGTCGACAATCTCAATTTAGAGTGAAGTATGTTTTGTTTCTTGTAAATATATTTAAATCGAGCAAATTCAAAAAATCAGTATCACTCACCTCAAACTATTTGCAGTATCAACAACCCGCAGATTTTCACAAAAAAAAGATAACATGAAATTCCTAACATTGGCTGTTTTTGTTGCCCTTTTTGCTCTAAGTGTGGCTCATGATTTTCACCACGACACTAAGGAAGAAGTTCACCACGATTATTATGCTCACCCCAAATACGAATTCAAATATGGTGTCAAGGATTTGAAAACCGAGGATATTAAGGAGCAATGGGAACATCGTGATGGTGATAAGGTTCATGGTAAAAATACTAACCCCTAATGAAAAATAAATCATACTTTAAATAACTCTTTGTAATTTTTAGGTGGCTACCTTCTGAAGGAAGCTGATGGCACCACTCGCATTGTTAACTATCATGCCGATGATCACAGCGGTTTCCATGCTGATGTCAAAACAATTGGTGAAGCTAAACAACCTGAAACTCAGAAAGCCGAAAGTCATGGACATCATGAACATGCCCACGAAATTGTCCATGTCCATCATGCAGAGGAGGTGCATGGTGCCGAAGAAGCAAAGCATGGCGCTGAACATGCTCAGTATATTGTAGAAACGCAACATGCTGAAGAAGCTCCTAAAGGACATGGTAATTTGCATTATTTCGATCATAGCAAAAAAGCTGAAAGTCACTATAGCCATGCAACTAGCTATGCCCACGTTGAGAAACATTAAATTAAAAGGGTTGTACCTTAAAAGTTAGATTTTGAATTAAAACATTTGTAATTATTAAAAATTAAATATTTGTACTTATTAAAAATTATTTTAGAAAAATAAAAATGCCATAAAAGAATTTATTAAATATATGTCATATTAAATATATGTCAATCCAAACCATAGTGGAATATTCGAGACATTAGATTGGAATTTGATTTTAAATTATTGTACTAAAAAGGTACTAAGTCCAAATGTATATTCGGCAATCTCTCATTTTGGAGAGAGTAGTTTCTGTCAAGTATCTTTTGCAGGAAAGTAATTTCTCGTGTGTCCCCATTTAAATACCGAAACATAAATAACAATGCTTTAAAAACGCAACGAGGAAGTATGAATATTTCAAAAAAATAGGTTTGTATCAATGCGAAAGGCAAATTCACTAAAAAAACAGGTAAAACAGCTGCAAGTTCGGCCGGGCCGAACGTTGTTCCGGTAAATAATGTCGCTAAAATCATCAAAATACCGAATATCTGTTTGTAACAGGTAAAAAAAAAAGGAGATAGACCCATAGTTCCTTTTGATGATCTCCATAGAATCACTTTCTGAGTTGATTTATGCATGTCAGTCCGTCTGTCCGTTCATCCGTCCGTCCGTCCGTCTGTCCATGTATTCTTGTGAACGAAATGCAGGTCGCATTTATTATCCGATTGAGATGAAATTTTCCAAACAACATTTGTTTGGCCCAAGGACGAACCCTATTGAATTTGGTGATAATCGGTAAAAAATTAGATAAAGCTCCCATATATATCTTCGTCCGATTTGCCTTTTATTGTGCACCAAACGTGTAATATTAGCCCGAATAGTATGGAATTTTTCACATACAACCGAATTAGGCCTGAAAATAAGTATGCCAAATGTGATCGAAATCGGTTCAGATATAGCTATAGCTCCCATATATATATTGTTCATCCGATTTCTTATTTTTGTCCTCCGCAGCTGTAATATGCACTCTGTAACAACAATATTTGGGGAAATATATTAAATACAGTTCAGAAATACCTTTGCTAAATTTTATCGAGATCGGTTCAGATTTGGATATAGCTCCCATATATAACTTCATCCGATTTACCTTTTATTGTGCACCAATCGTCTAATATTTGCCCAAATGGGATGAAATACAACCGAATTGAGTCTAGAAGTTAGTATGCCAAATTTGGTGAAGATCGGTTCAGATATAGCTATAGCTCCCATATATACTGTTCATCCGATTTGTTGTATTTGTTACCCACAGCCGTAATATGCACTCCGTAACAACGATATTCAGGGAAATATATCAAATATAGCTCAGAAATATCTTTCCCAAATTTTATGGAGATCGGTTCCGATTTGGATATAGCTCCCATATATATCTTTATCTGATTTAAATTAATTTCGCACCAAATGGGCAAACCGAATTTTACAAGTCCGAATTTAAAAGATACAAATGCTTCGGCAGATTATAATTATATTAATAGGGTGTATGATTGAATTCTCCCATAAAAACTTTTAATCGTTATGTGGAGCTCAACTAAATTAGCAAAGTGGTGTAGGGTATCATAAAATCGGCCCCGCCTGACTTTAGGACTTTCTTCACTGGTTTAATATATTTCATCCGATTCGTAATATACACTCCACTAAAATGATCTTTGGTACCAGATATCAGATACAGCTCAGAAATGAGTGATTAACATTTAGTCAAGATAGATTCATATTTGGATATAGCTCCCACATATGTTTTTATACGATTTCAGTTTTTTTTTTTTCTGCAACAAATGGCTCATTTCAAGCCAAATGAACTGAATTTTGGCACTTCAACAGAATTCAGTCTAGAAGCAAGTACATCAAATTTGGTGAAAATCGGTTCAGATATAGCTATAGCTCTCATATATGTGTTTTATCTGGTTTGGGGTTTTTAGTCCCTCATATTCGTAATATGTATTCGACAGCAATGAGATTAGATCTGCCAAATTTTATCGCGATTGGCTCAGATTTTCATGAACATTCGATAAACATCTTCATCCAATTTAACGGCCATTGTAATATCACTTCAAATTGAATAGATTTTTCATTTTCAACCGAATTTTTCTTTTTGGTGAAACTGGGTCCGGTCTTGCTCTTATAAATATTTGTTTTAAATAATTCTTATCGAAGTCATATCATACACTATACAGGAATGTTATTTGGTACTGGAGATAGAAAAGCCTCCGTCAGATTTGTTGAAAATCAATTCAGAGTTGGATATAGTTCCCAAATTGTGATTACTCTAATACCATGATAGGAATAAGGTTAACAATTGGTATGATCTACTTCACATAATTTTCCTAGTATAAACTTATTTTGTTAAGGGAGCTCTACTAAATACTCATGTGGTGTAGGGTATTATATAGTCGGTCCCGCCCGACTTTTAACCTTTACTGGTTAGGTTTAGAATATGACCGAAAATTCCCTTTTCACTATTCCTTACACAAAAAAAAATTGTTTGTCATATATATTTTAATGCATATATTTATATAGGAACATATTTAATAATACAATAATACAATTTTAAATAACATCAGACTTTAATCACATATCCTCAATATCTTATTCTAAATGCTTTTCAATTTTAAAGTAACTCTCAGCATGGCCATAATGAGCACCAGCATGTTTGCCATGACTTTCATGATTGTGGATTTCAGGATGTTTGGCTTCACCAATTGTTTTGACATCAGCATGGAAGCCGCTGTGATCATCGGCGTGATAGTTCACCACACGTGTAGTGCCATCAGCTTCCTTTAAGAGGTAGCCACCTGTGGGAATAAATACAATTATCAATATTTGTCAAAATTACCATTCGTTTTTATTCAATACTTACCATAAACTTTATCACCATCTCTATGCTCCCATTGCTCCTTAATATCCTCGGTTTTTAAGTCCTTTACACCATATTTGAATTGATATTTGGGATGGGCATAATAATCATGTTTCTCTTCTTTGTGCACCTTGTGCTCAGCATAATCATGAGCCATGCTCAAAGCACAAAGGACAATCAAAACTGTGAGTGTAAGGAATTTCATGTTACCTATCAAAAAACTAGAGGAGGTGTTGTTAAAACAAATAACTTAAGCGGACTGATAGCATTTTTATATTTACCACATGACTATTTATACAATACAAAATTAAATTTGCACAAAAAATGTGTATAGTTAACTTTACCTTCAATTGTTAATATAGAAACATTTTACAATCGGATATAAGTGTTTCTTTTAATTGGCAAATATTTTCACGCTACTTGGTGTTAATAACTTTAATTCGCGTTTGTACTGTTGTCACCTGAAATTGTGCATTATAAAATTTAAACGCTTAATAGCAAATAACAAATTTAAACCAACTGTTGTTTTTGGCAAAACTTTGCATAATGTCCAAAGTTTGATATTGAATCTCAAAAGTCGAAATATATTTCAAAAATGATAATGGAGTACCATTTTGAGCATGGGTTTTAGCCTAATATTTTGTATGTGGGCTTAAACCACGTCTATGGTCCACAGCATCATCATAATTAAGCATCAGGTATAATTCTCATTCACGTGGCTATGCTAGAGATATTTTTTGGTCTAATTGTTTCAAATTTTGTATGCGAATTTCCAAATAGGTACTATAGTCTATGACAAAAAAAATTGTTTACCAGAATAGTAGATATAAGCGACATTATCCAAAGGAACTGTTTCAAATTTCGTTTTAAAAGTTCGTAAGGAGTACTATAATTGGTTACAGAAAATTGTCTATGCGGGTCCTCCACATCGTATAGCCCGCATATACCAGTACCTCCCTTTACTCGGTATTTTGATGATATAAGCGGCATTATCAACCGAAATTGTTTCAAATTTCGTATTTGAAGTTCGGTATCGGTGCTACAGCAAATACAGGGTGAGATAAAGAAACTGTAACAAACTTCAGGCTGTTGTCATTTCTTAGCCACTCGTCCGACAGCTGTGAAAATTATTCCAGTGGCAGCCCATTATATTGTTTACAAGCGTACAAAAGCATTTTGGTGAGAATTTTCCAGAAAATATAGTTATTCGTGATGGAATTCAAGCGTGATAGTGTGATTTCTTTATATTTGGCTAGAAAACCACAAGTGGCTATCGTTAGAGCACTCCAGCATTTAAATGTGAATAAATCTTTTGTGTCTCGCACAATCGCTCGTTACCGTAATATTGGTAGCGTAGCCCAACGTCAAGGAAGTGGACGAAAGAAAACAGAAAAGAAAACATCAGCAGAAATGGTTCGAAAAATAAAGAAGCGACTTGATCGAAACACTCGTCGGAGTGGCCAAAAAATGGCTTGTGAGCCGAACATATTGCAATATTCCATTCGGCAAATATTGAAAAATGAGCTCGGTGCAAAGCCATTGAAATTCCAAAAAGTGGAAGAACTTACACCGTAACAGAAAGAATGTAGACTCAATAGAGCTAAAGAGTTGCTTCGCTTGGCCGAAAGAGAACATTTGTTGTCCAGCAGTTTGGATTTGTCCTTTATACAATTTCATCTGAATCGGGCAAAAAATGCGACCTGTACTTTGTTTACAAAAATACATGGACAGACGGACAGACTCAGAATGTGATTCTATGCAGATCATCAAAAGGAACTATGGGTCTATCTCTTTTCCTTTTGCCTGCTACAAACAAATGCACAAAGACATAATGCCCTGACCACCTTGTGGTGTTCAACAAAATGATCATGTTTACTTGCCAAAGAGATCAGCTGAAAATGTGAACCTTCGGTTGGCCACCAGAACTCAACTGCCGGCCATGCTAATGGTGTAGGCCGCCATAACAGCCGATGGTCGTTCCCCGCTTGTATTAATCGACCGCGGCATCAGAATAAATACCGGATATTATAGCGAAAATATTCTGGAGGGTGTATTAAAGCCTTGGGCATACAAACATTTTGACCGCAGACCTTGGATATTCCAACAGGACTCAGCACCATCGCACCCAAGAATGGTTACAAAATGAGGTTCCTCGCTACAATTCCCGCTCACAATGGCCACCAAAATCTCCGGATACCAAACCGTTGGACTATTGTGTCTGGAGTATTTTGGAAAGCAAGGATGGCACTAAAAAATACCAAAGTGTCGCTCACCCCAAGCAAGCGCTGGGGGCCAAAATACCGCAGAGCAACATACAGGCAGAGTGTGACGGTTTCATTGAAGGCCATAATTCGTGACAAAGGTGACAAATTCGATCAAATCTAAACTTATTTTAAAATTTAATGATATTTCCGACATTGTTTGCTTTCATTCAATATAATTCAAAAAAAAAAAAAAAAAAAACAAGTAAGCAAAGGCTATAGTCGTGCGGGGCCAACTATGCGATACCCTACAACGCCAAAATATGATGTAAGCCACCTTATGTCCAAATCCATTTTGGGAGATTTCGTTTTTGAAATTATGCTGTTAGTTGTTATCGTGCATTTACAGCTGAATATAATCCAATGGTCATCCAAAATGTTAGACTTTTTTCCTGTCCTTAACTCTCTTCTCAGGCGTATCGATTGGCTTCAATTGTGTGATCAGGAATATTTTTCTGTTTTTGGTTCATTTGAACCCCTAAATATTTTGCGATCATCTCCTAAAGCAAGAGGCGCCTCTGTATTTCCAAATCTAGACTAATCTATATGATTTTCTTGCCTAGGATATTTGGCTATATTCGTCCACGAAATCAGCATAAACCAGTAAGGAAAGCTCAAAAGTCGGGCGGGGCCGACTATATGATACCCTACACCACTATGCATATTTAGTAGAGCTCTCGTAAAAAGGTTTATACAGGGCATTTCAGAGCTCTATGAGATATTTGGTACAAAATCAAAATCTATCTAATTCTATCGTGCATTTCACGAACTATAGCTATCTCTGAACCGGGTTTCTCCAAATTTTACGTATTATCTTCTAGACTGGTGATTTGGGCTGATATTGACCATTTAGTGCACATTTAACCCGAAATCGGATGAAGATATATATGAGAGCTATATCCAAATCTGAACCGATTTCGATAAAATTTAAAACAGCTATTCCTGTGCTCCATCTAATACCTGGTACCAAATATCACGGTTGTGGAGTGCATAGTAGGAATGTTAGGGACTTAAAGATCAAATCGGATGAAAGATATATATGGGAGCTATAGCTATATCTGAACCGATTTTCTCCAAATTTGATATACTTGCTTCTAGGCCGAACTCGGTTGGGTGTGCCAAAATTCAGGTAATTTGGACTGATAGTGGACATTTGGTGCACATTTAACCCGAAATCGGATGAATATATATATGGGAGCTATAGCTGTTTCTGAACCGATTTTCTCCAAATTTGTTGTATTTGCTTTAAGGCTAATCTCGGTCACATGTGCCAAAATTCGGGCCATTTGGGCTAATATTGGCCATTTGGTGCACATTTAACCCGAAATCGGACGAAGATATATATGGGAGCTATATCCAAATCTGAACCGATTTCGATAAAATTACAAACAGCTATTTCTGGGCTGTATCTTATATCTGGTACCAATTATCATTCTTGTGGAGTGCATATTACGAATGTGAGAGGCTTAAACACCAAATCGGATGAAAGATATATATGGGAGCTATAGCTATATCTGAACCGATTTTCTCCAAATTTGATATACTTGCTTCTAGGCCGAACTCGGTTGGGTGTGCCAAAATTCAGGTAATTTGGACTGATAGTGGACATTTGGTGCACATTTAACCCGAAATCGGATGAATATATATATGGGAGCTATAGCTGTTTCTGAACCGATTTTCTTCCAAATTTGTTGTATTTGCTTTAAGGCTAATCTCGGTCACATGTGCCAAAATTCGGGCCATTTGGGCTGATATTGGCCATTTGGTGCACATTTAACCCTAAATCGGATGAAGATATATATGGGAGCTATATCTAAATTTGATCCGATTCTCACCAATTTCAATAGGGTTCGTCCTTGGGCCAAAAAAATATTGTTTGGAAAATTTCATCTCAATCGGATAATAAATGCGACCTGCATTTTGTTCACAAGAATACATGGACAGACGGACGGACGGACGGACAGACGGACTGACATGCATAAATCGACTCAGAAAGTGATTCTATGAAGGTTCTCAAAAGTAACTATGGGTCTATCTCGTTTCCTTCTCCATGTTACAAACAAATGCACAAAGACATAATACCCTTACCACTATGTGGTGTAGGGTATAAAAAGCCAGAAGTTCGCCTTTTGTGTATTGCGAATATCGCCTGTAAGTAATGTTGGTATTTTTCACACAAAAGTAGTGGTCCATTCTATCCTCTTTTCTAACTGTTTCTATTTGTGACCTTTATAACGGCTACAAAATCAAGAATATTTTTAATTGTTGGTCCATTTCAACCACTAAATATATTGCGGACATCTTTGAAAACGATAGACCTGGCCCTTCTGAGCTTAATCCTACCCTTGTGAAAATTTTCGTGAGGATCGGACGATAATTGCAATCTGTATATAATAACCCCAACCTGTGTTGTAAAGTGCAAAAATATTACATATACACTTCAGCATTTAAGTCAAATTGAAAAAATCGCATGCGAAAAAAATATGAAAAAAATAAAAAAATGTCAGAAAATACAAAAAAAAAATCTATACTAACATCATTATTGGCATATATTTTTATGCGAATTTTTTTATATTTTATACTTTTATGCTAAGAGGGCATTCTGAATTGACAAAATTTGTCAAAATTGCTCCAGCCATTCTGGAGATATAAGCATTCTAGCTAACATCCCCTTCCTTTGTATATATATATATATATATATATATATATATATATATATATATATATATATATATATATATATATAAGCATTCTAGCTAACATCCCCTTCCTTTGTATATATATATATATATATATATATATATATATATATATATATATATATATATATATATATATATATATATATATATATATATATATATATATATATATATATATATATATATATATTGTATATATTTCGCTATATATATCCTCTAGCTCCATGCTAACATTCGCTTCGATTGGTCTATAATTGTGATCTGTAGAGCAACTGCAA